CCAATTTTATAGGAATTACTCTCAGAATTTCCATGAAATGATCCCGACTAAACTTTACCATTTCACAATCTGTTCAAAGATACAGAATTAAATTAATTTCTGGGGGAATTTGTTTGGAATGAACAGCCTGGCAATTCAGTCAGTGCTTATGAACTTTCTATTTCTCTGCTCCTCTTCCCTGAGAGAGGGCAATGAGGATATCCTGTGTGTATAATTTCCCTATGATGTGCCAGGTTATGGGATGGTCTTTCCCAGTGTGTGATCCCTCTCCAGTTCCGGCAGAGGGAGCAAGGATCTAATAGTCCTGCAAAACAATTTGGACAATTTCTCCTAAGCATGCATGCGACCTGATACAGATAAACCTTTTGCTGTCTAGCAAGGTTAATTAAAACTAGGGATACTGAATTTAAAAATACATTAAGGATTCCTAAAAGACACTATCAAATTGGCAGCTGCAGCCAGTAAAAATGCCAAAGCTGAAGTTGTCTGCATTTCTGTGCTGTCTGTCACAGCTTTCCCTTCCTCCCTCCTCAGGTGCTAACTGAGTTTGGGAGAAATTGGTGCCTGATTTCCCCTCTGGGTTGCCAAGGCATTGCTTACTGCTCTTTTTCAGGCAGTTTTACAGGCAGTTGGCTCTAGCCCATGAAAGCTGCATTTCTCCCAGTTTCCAGTACTCAGGAATCCAATTCTAATAGCATTCCATTCCCACCAACTGGTCGTGAACTGGATCTAGCTAAGCGAAGTATAGTAAAAGTGTTTGCCTCATTTAAAGCAGTCTTTCTCAAATATTCTTCTATTTCAACTTTCGTTTCATCGATTCTGTCCAATGTTCCACAAATAATATAAAACCAAGACGTTTTTAACCAGGAACCAAATGCTTCCTTGCTCTGTACTTCCCAAACAGTTTGGTCAGAAATGGAAAGTTACAGATAAGAGTGTTGTTTATCATAAACACAAGATGTTGAGCATAACTACAAAGTAGACTCAACACTACACGCTGGTGAATAGTGCTTTACATTTCTCCTGTGGGAAAATTCCAGAGGAGAAATACTGGCAGGCATCTGTTATTTTTAGTAAATAAAATGCCCATTATGTAGTTCATTCCTTAAATATGACTTGATTGTAGAAGTAAATTTAATCCTTTTTATTTTTTCTATTACTTCTCTGAAAGTTCCCACCGTTGTTAGTGCTCCCTAGAACTGCCCCTGAAAGTGAAGGGAAGCTGAGGAAAAAAAGAAGAAGCAGAAGAGAATTAGGAGGGAGAAACTTTTCATTTCCTAGCTCTTCTGCTTCGTGGAGGAGTCAGGGCATACCTCAGGGCTTGATTTCTGCGAGAGGAGGTACAGAGGGTGCAGAAACAGCTGGGCATCCTCCCCTGACATTTTCGGGCTGCCTTTCATCCATCATTTAAGTGTTTTAAAACTGATCGTTAAAAAAAAAGTATGAAATCCTCCATTCTTTCATCAGTACTGTGCTTATTTCTCATGAATTTAATTTCCCACAATTTCTCTCCAGTTATAATGTCTTTTAAGAAAGGGGAGCGAGGAGAAAAGAACAAATAGCTTAGTGTTCTAAGCTAAGGATTCTAAGACATTAGTTATGATTAGGGCAGGATTTTTACAAAGTTCTCAAAGAGCAATGCTGCATTCCTTCTGTAATGGGCAGCTCTTGACTTCTTTAGGATAGGTTTTCCAAATCAAACCTGGGCTGGGAATCAAAAGAAATGGCATGGAAGGAGTTAAGAAATCCTTCCACATTCTTCAGATAAAACACAGAGTGAGGGAAACACCAGCCTTAGTGTTATTTTTCAGTGTGAGCAAGCAGCCACATGTGCTCTGGTCACTGTTTTAAACGTGCTCAACCACTTCAGCCTGTGGCCTGTACTGAACACAGAGTTGCTGTCATGACAAGAGGTGTGCTGTTTAGTTTGGGTTTGAGAGTTTGTTTTTCCTTGGGCAAATGCACATTCCAGGGCCTTTGAGGCAGTTGAGGAAAAGTTCACTGTGTCGCTTGGTATCACTCACCCCGCTGCATCTGTAACAAATATTATTTTGTGAGGTCTGTTTGAATTTCAGCTAAGTGATACTAACTGTGAAGTGCTAACAGCATGACATTTTATATGACTGGTATTAAAACTTTTAACTTCCAGCAGCTGAACATATAGCAGGAATCTAAATTGTCCTGTCTCCATAGTATTTGGGCAGGGCCTGAATATATCCTGTAGAGAAAAGAATTTCATAGTGTATGATCTAGTTGTGTCTTAAAATAGTTCTCTAGTTCAGAATAAAAAGCATTAAGCTGTATTATTTATTGAGAGTGCCAGACTTTATGTGACTGAGAGGCTGCATGTACATTTTAAAACTTTATGGTATGATATTTTTTTTCTGTCAGGAAGCAGAGGCTCAGATATGAGTGCATAGATGAGCTGAAATGCAAGAATTCTGGTTAAAGAAATGCAGCTTTCGGTTCGTACCCAGACTGAAAGATGCAGCAGTGGTAGCTGCTTTCCACTTCTCAAAGTTTGAATGATTTACAGTTTATCAAACACACATGAACTGGGGGAGTGAAAGAAGGAAGAGGGGAAGAAAAGGCCTCTACGTGGCATTTAATATTTTAGATTTTTTTTTAATTTAGTTGTCTGACATTTTCTTAAGTTTCACTGAAGTCCGATGTGGAGTTGTATTTTCCTACCTGCTTTTGTTTTCCACACAGCATCGTTGCTGTTGCCTGGCGAACAACTAACTTGAGTAGGTTTCTTTTAGCACAGATAACATTAACCCAACTGATCTACAGCAGCGTGATGCGTTTGAGCTGAGGGCTGCTGACGAGGCCAGCAGGCCGGGCCTCTTGCAAAGGCTGATTTAACGCTCCGTGGTTGTTTTTCAGAGCCAAGGGGCAGGCTCCCCTCGTTCCTCACCCAGCCACACCATCAGCCGCCCCATTCCCATGCCCATCAGGTCCGCGTCCGCCTGCTCCACGCCGACCCACACGCCCCAGGACTCGCTGACCGGCGTGGGAGGAGACGTGCAGGAAGCCTTTGCACAAAGTAAGTATCATCAGTAGGATGCATGAGGTACCCCGAGACTATTTTAAGACTCCTTATTTCTTCCGGTTAATGACCAAATTGAACTTGAGTTTTGGGATTGCATAGATGGAACAAAACAGAAAAAACAGTTGTGGTTTTTCTGCCATCGATTTGCTTTCTAGGGGAGCAACTAAGTGGAAACCAGACAGGGATGCCAACGAATGAATTTGGTGCTAAGAGGCGATTTTAATGCAAGGTGGTCAAAGCAATAATCAGTTTTCTTAATTAGAATATAAAGGACTGTTGCTAACCTAAGCAAGGTGTTGTGAGTGGATTTGCTTTTAAATAAGGACTATGCTAAAGAATAGATAATAGAATCATAGAATAATTTTGGTGAGAAGGTCAATTCATCCAGCCTCCTCCTCCAAGGAAGCCAGGTTCAAAGTGAGATCAGATTGTTCCAAACTGGTCTAGTTAAGTTTTGAATATCTCCAAGCATAAATTTCCCACAGCCCACATTCCAGGCATTGACCGCACTTCCCTGGCTAAATTTTCCTCCTTGTGTCTGGTTGGAATTCCCTTCGAGGCACTTGTGGCTGTGGTCCCTGCTCCGTTTGCTGTGGGCCTGTGAGAAGGGCCTGGCTAGGCTAGACAGGAATCTAGTCTGGAAGTTTAGATGAGCCGTTCCTTAGCATTCCCAGCAAAATGACATAGGCTGTATTGTGCTTCTCATTCCCCTTCCGTGGAACAAGATCTCATTCCCCTCTTGTCAAGTAACAAGAAATGTTAAACTGTTTTGAACTTCTAAGGCCACAGCTTAAATGATTATGTTGAGTGCAGAGGAAAATAGTCTGTGAGACGTGAATGAGGAAATATTCCTTCTTTCTCTAAGTTGCTTTCTTCTAACATATTTATATTGCTGCTGTTCTTTTATTTGAGCACATTTTTGTTCAGTTTCACCAGTACAAATCAAAATGTAGGCAGTGTTCTGGAGTCCCTCTGCTGCAGTGCATGAATATTAGTCCCCAAGAGCCCAGTTCTGCCTTTGTGTTTATGTACCTTATGGCAAGGTTGAATTCATAAAGCAATCAAGAAATTTTCATTAAAGCACTGGTAAATTCATGTATTAAACATGTTTTACTAAGGCATAATTCCTAGTCCCCACACACTGGGTTGCTGGATACCTCATTTGCTGTGAGAAAATAAAGAAGAAATATTTTTCTTCCTTTGGCTATGAAGAATTGAGGGAGGCAAAAATAGGCACCCTGTCCCCTATGAAATTGTAGAATGCTTTCTTCCAGAACTAGAAATAATTTAGTGCCTACAATAACATAACCATAAATAATAGTTAACCTGCCTCAGGAAAATGTTTCTTAAGCACATAAATGTGTTCTGTTCAAGAGAAAAAGCAATATGAAAAAGTATAGTGATTACATTTTGAAACTACTGCTTTTGATAAATATCTAGCTTTATGTCATTATTTCCCATATTCGCCAGTTAGGAAGGTCAAAACCAGAGAACTTGAAATCGCCGTTGTGTCATGTGGTCACATATATGACATATCTGTGTTGAGAGATTACATCTGCCTTCTGCAGCATCCCAGCAGAGATCTGTTTATATACACAGCATGCAGACCAGCCGTGGTTAGAGCCCTGTTTCTCACATTTTGGGTGTTTTTTCCCCTCTTCTTTCATAGTGCTTCAGCAGTTCAAAGGCAGCTCAAAGGGGCTGTCTGAGTGTGTATGTGTGTGGGTATGTTTCTATACATCCATGAGAGAGATTAGCTACGTTGATCTACATTCTACTAATCATTTGATAACTGTGATATATTAAAAAGAACCTCTTTAGGATTTGGGACATTTTAAAAAAGGTATAGTATAACAGCCTGTCATGTTTGAGAATCCACAGCAGTGAAATCCTGCCTCTTCCTAGAAAGAATCCAATCGAAGAGAAACGAGAGTCTATGGGACACATTGGTTATTCAGCTGCAAAAGGAGCCGTGTTTGGGATTTGGGAGAGTTAAGCACACATTACCCACAGCCCACTCCTAGGGAAGCAATTTAGCACTCAACTCACCAGGATCTTTCACGATTGATGGCTAAGGGAATATTGCCAGATTCACCAGGGAACCACTTAAGGATTATTAGATGGAGTCTAAAACCAGCCTAGGGCTATTTAGAGAAGGGGTAGTGTTTCCTTTATTAAAAAAAAAAAAGTAAATCATGGATTATACAAATCTTTTAGTTACAGAAGAGACTGAGTGAAGAGGAAAAGGGAATGGAGAAAAAAAAGTCCGTATCAGTCTTGATGAGGTCAAGTATGTTTCTTCAACATTTGCCATAATTATCTGGCAAATACCTGAAAATAATGGTGTCATTAAACAGAACTGCGGGAACATAGAGAAAAGACTCTGTTCCTCCCCCCTCACCCACAGACATTTTAAATGAGTTCACATTAGATTTAATCTTCCAGGCCTGGTCTGCCAGTGTCACCACACAAATGTGAGCTTGATGACAATGAATAATCTCCACATTTCTGGCATTGTGATTAAATGAAGCATGAGGGTAGGTTTCTGCTTTTGCATACAGCATAGGAAAATGAGGCTGTTCTGCAGCAAACTCTTCTGCACATGTCACTTGTAAGGGCTTTGGTGCCTTGAATTACCACAATGGCAGCTCTGGGCAGGGCTAAAATTGCTTTGAAAATGAAAACATATGGCTCGTGAAGAATATTAACACTGTGTTTTGTCTGTCTCTTGCTTCAGGTGCAAGACGGAACTTAAGAAATGATTTGCTGGTGGCAGCAGATTCGATCACCAACACCATGTCGTCTTTGGTAAAAGAGCTAAATTCTGGTGAGTGAGGCTAACAAGCAAAGATAGTGCCTGCATTGTCATTTCATATGTATTTTTTAAAAATGGGAGCTAGGAAAAAATAAGAAAATGGAAAGGCAGTGTTACATAGTTTCAGAGGTGTTTGTGCTTTGAATTCCTTCAGCAAATTGCTCATGGATCCCTGTGGAAATGGTCTTTCCAAGGAATCTTTGTACTATTCATCAGTGGGGGTCAAAACACTGTGATTTCGTAACACCTTTCCATCCCCTTAAAAATACCCATTTAAATGGATGGTTGGGGTATTGTGGAAATCAGATTTCATTCTTCAGAAATTTGACTCGATACAGGATGTGTTGTAAAATGTATACATAATAAACCAATTAAGCAAAAATGTTACTATTCTGTCCCACCACTAGAAGAAAACTGTAAGATCTGAAATTATGTGTAGAATAATATACCGACATTCCCTACTAGAGGATGGCATTCTAAATTGAAAAGACAGAGATGTGTAGAGAAATAAGCGAGTGTATTCACCCTTGAGAAGGTTAAATGGAGACACCTTTCTGTTTCGCAGAAGTGGGCAGCGAGACAGAAAGCAACGTGGATTCGGAATTTGGACGGACACACTTTGATGACCTTGTTCCGTCGCCGACCTCGGAGAAGGCCTTCCTCGCCCAGATCCATGCCCGCAAGCCCGGGTACATCCACAGTGCTGCTGCCACCGGTTCCATGCGCAGTGACATGTGGGTACCGTCGCAACACCCCGCTTCCCGGTCTTTTCATTCTGTCATCCTTCCAGACAATAATGCAGCATAGTTTCTCTCCCTCTCAGCCGTTTGATTACCCAAATTTCCGTAAATCCAAATGAGGGCAACTTTATGATTAGAAAATAGCAATCTCTGCAAGTTCAAGAGGCCAGAACTTAAGATATACTCGAGTGGTTCTTGAATCCAACACGTGGCACTTGGGCTGCACTGAGGCAGTGACCTCTCCTAGTGTGCCCTGCACCCCTAGTCTCTGCCTGTGCAGACTAAGGGCCTGTTGGAGCTAAATGAAAAATAAAAGTTTTTTTATGGAAAAGACAAAATGTTTTTTCAGCCAACTTAGTTTTTAGAAGTTGATTTTTTTCCTTCAAAGACAACGGGCATCTTTTCACTTATTTTTAGTTCAACCTATTACTCAGAGAAGTTTCTGAGGACTTTTGTTACTGATTTCAGTAGCGTTGTAGCTACTGTGATTCAGCAGAATCACCCTTCACCCTTTAGTCTACATCCTGGATACCAGACCACTGGAGAGATGATAGACTCATAGGAAAATAGTAATTAATGGAGCATCTGCTCTCCTCATAAAGTAAAGGGATCCTCATTGTAGTAAAAGGACTTTTTATTTACCCAAAATGTCATTCATCTGAGGAGGCTATTTATTAATAATTGTCTTTAGGGTTACAGAAGATGGAGACCCCTATGTCAGAGCAGATGATGAAAATTATGAGAATGACTCTGTCCGCCAGCTGGAGAATGAACTGAAGATGGAGGAATACCTGAAGCAGAAGCTGCAGGATGAGGCATACCAGGTGAGAAGAGAACACTGGCTGTCCATACGTCTCCCTATGTGAGAAACAATAATGTTGGTGATGTTAAGCTGAGTTTTTGTTACATGTAGATTTTTTTTTCAGTAGTGAAAAGCATTCCTGTTGGCTTGACTGTGAACTGAAGCCCAAGCACAGTCTGTGTGTCATTGTCATTGTCACAACCTGGAAGGAGAGAAAAGGGTCTGAAATGAACCAAGCCCAGAGGACCAAGTATTCAGCAGACACTGAGTACAGTGAAGCCTGGACACTTGTCATTAAATACCTCCTATGGAAGGTTTCAAAGGGCAGTTGTCCAATAAAATATAATAATAAAAGTCCAATAAAATCTAATTTGACAGCAAGGTTTGGCATTCTCAAATTATCCTCTCCTTTCTGGTTAATGGTCTCTATATCTGCCTCGTATAATGGTCTACTGCCAGTTTTTAAGTTTTCTGACATGGATCATCCTAATATAAAGATCATTGTATCTTACGGTATTACTAGTAATATCATTAGGAGGGCACATCCAGTTCAGTTGTAAGGGAGCAAGTTCAAAGCAAGCCAAAATAAGATTTCCCCATATGAATGGGCAATGGTATATGGAAATTAAGTTCAAACCTCTGGTCAGGATTCTTTAAACTACTGATTGCTGGGGGCTAAGATGATGTAGCTTTTTTTCTGATAGTTTTTTTGTAGTATCTATCACTGTACGTTTTGGAAACTAGATTGGAAAGTGGGAAAGTTCTATTTGGAATATCCTGTTAAACGGTAGCCTGGTCATCTATTTTACATCCAAACTCTGGAACTTAGTACAAGCTTTTTACTGTTCATACTCACAGGTACAATGTGTTCCTCTGGAGAGCCAGAGCTGATGACTGTAGCTATCATAGTGCAACCATGAGGAAGAACTCCTACTAGGGTGGCTGTATGGTAACCTCAGGAACAGGATTTTACGTTATCAAATATCTCACTTTGTGTAAAAGCAGCACATTTAGAAAAACTTGTTGATTTAGTGTAGCTTGGAAAACGGTTGGTCAAAACCCACTCTTGTTACTTTGTGTCACCTTATCTCTAAGCAAGATTTTCAAGCAAAACTCTGAATTAGGAAGGGATGAGCAGAATACTCAAGATACACAAGAGAATCTGGGACAGGGAACCTCATAGGAGGTTTCTTTTTCTCTCTTTTTTTTTTTGAGCATGTTGTAAATAGCAAGCATTTGTACCAGAAAAACAAAAAACAACAACAACACATCTAGTGCACAAGTATAAATGCTAACAGTTCTTATCCTCCCACGTCTGCTAGCAGTTGTGTTCTTGGATGGATGTATTGAATAACACACTTTTCACAGGGCTTATTTTCTGGGTCCACAATTGTTCTTTTTATTTCTAGGCTTGTGCATGGCTTTCTTCAGAATAATACACTGCCTGGCTGCCTCACTGCCTTAATTTGTCATCTTCTTGTTTTCTATCCTTTGTTATCTACAGGTCAGTTTGCAAAGTTGAGTGCAATATTCTTCTCTCTCTCCTCTCAAGTAAGTATAAATATAGTTTAGAAGAAAGTTTGCAATGAATCCTCATAACGTGTAGTTCACTTGCACTGCACCTCGTGCTCCCTGAGTAATGTGATGATGCCTTTTTTTCTCTGCTTTTAATAAGTGTTAGGATGCCTGAATATCACAAAATCATTTCTAGTAATACGGAGGAAATGTGGTCATAGTCCTGAGGATTCTTATTAAGGCAGCACCCTTTTTATCTTCATCCACTATTAACCCCAGGAGGAAGTTAAAAGATGTTAGATATTTCTGCAGCATCTCTCTCAAGGTCTCTAAAAGCTAAAGCAGAATAAATGGATATGAAAAGCAAATAAACAGTAACAGCCAGAGTACTATAAATAAATAACTTTTCATAATGTTGCACCTCTACTTACATTCATTTTCTCAGGAGCCCAGTTAGAAATTTGAGTAAAGCTGTATAGGTTTTCCTAAAATGGACAGACGGAAAACAAGTTTTCACCTTTTATTTTGTTGCAGTTTTCAGTTACAGATCAGGTCACATGAAAAGGAAAATTGATCTTTCAACAGAAATGTATGTGTATATAGGAAATGTTATATATACCTGAAGTTATAAGTATTAGTTACCATAAGTTTAAAGGATAGCAGCATTCAAATAAGTTAGTTGCAATATTAAGCTAAGATTTTTCCTGTTTCTTGATTAGATTTAAAAGATTGAGTCAGTTTATTTTAAGATTTAATCCTTTTTTAATAACTTGCCCACTTTCTGCTTTCCAGAAGCAGTATTAACAGTGAATGCATGCTGCTGCACTGCCTGGCTTTCCTGGAAATACGCAACCTACCTCAAATAATTAGCAGAAATTTGAGTTGTCTGGATGCTTTTGAAGCATTTTGAAGGCCTGAGAGAGAGTTGAAGTCCATAGTCAAACTCCTCTTGGCCCTCAGGATAGTAGTTCAGTCAGGAACACTGAAACATTCCCACCAGCTGTAAAATCTCAGCCCTGTAGAAATTGCCAGCAAACACCAGTGCACTTGGCACTCCATCCAGTCCTTATGCACAGGAGCAAACTCTGTATTATCATATATTGTGATAAATATGTAACACACAATTAGATTATAGCAAAGATTAGTCTTCTAAAGAGTCAGTCTGTTTTGAAAACAGAAAACTGATGTAATTTGCAGATTTTATTTAGCACTGATATAACAGTCTTGGAAAATAAAATCCAAAATTGTTCATAAAGGCCATGATGCCTAAAGCAGTTTTGTGGTTTGGGATGGGGTCTGTCCTGACTGCCTCACATCACAAGGAGTCTTTGCATTGCTTTTACATGGGAAGCTTTGAGATGTGGGCAGAAGGCTTTCACTTCCAAAAGGGGGTTCCAGTAATCTATAAAATACATTTCAACCATGTTTTCAGTTTACTTTTTACATTAGATGTATTTTGATGCCACTTGTTTTGATCTTAATGGAGTAAAAAAGTGAGGTTGTTTTCAGCAAGCAGGCAAATATTGAAATTAGCAGAACATGCAACTTTGACATTGTTTTACTTAAAAATGGTCTGTATCTCACTGATAACAGTTGCTTGTCTGTCAAGGGCACCAGTGGGACCAGAAAGTCTCAATTTCCAGAAGTGGTTAAAAAAAATCATTGTTTTCAATAACATGCTCCCATTTCCCAAAGCAGTTCTTATCATCGTTTTCAATAAGAGTTGTCCACTTGTGGACATGCTCCCATTTCCCAAAGCAGTTCTTTCTTAGTGCTGCCTTTGCAACATTTTAGTTAGCCACATTCAGTTCATTCACATGCATTATTATAACAAAAAAGAAAAGGAGTAGAAAGCTTATAAAAACCCAGCCTAGCGCATCCACTTGTAAAGGAGTATAGAGGAGAGTCTTTGTTAGAATTTTTTTTTGATTTTTTTTTTTAACTGCAATTATTTTTTCTCTATGGTGGCAAAATCATGTAATAACTAGAGTTGAGGATTCAGTTCCATTCCTTCTCTAAAATCTCTCACTTCCTCAAAACTTTGCTCAAAATTCTCTTGGGCCTTGAATCTGTGGGGATTTGAGGGGGCAGGGGTGATAGTTTCCATTAAACAGATGTCTGGATTATTCTGTGCTGGAAAAGGTAGAAAATTCTCAAATTTATCTAAAAAAAAATCCCTCCCAACTTTTTGATAATTTTTTTTTAATTAAAAACTGATTATTTCTTGCAATATCACTGTTTTTTCCAGGGCAGAAATCCTTTTGAGTAGTGCAATAATGTTTCCTCTTATCTTCCCCCTTTTCTCTCCAAAATCCCTTTTCATTTCTACTGACAATGATTCCGATTGCCACAATCCCGTTGAGAAAACCCATGGGTCTTGGGAAATGATGGTTCCATGTCAGTCTGCCTGTTATGTCTCTGGGTTGTTTATTTGGCCGAGGGATGCAGGGTGACAGATGATTTGAAAACCCAACTGCCCTACATTTCTATTTCTTTTTCCAGGAAGGAAATTAGATTTTGGAGCTAGTATGCATCTCACTGACCGTTGACATTTTGCATTGTTTGGCTTATTTGAAGTTCATGCCCTGGGGTTCTGTGCTAGCACAGGCTTCATGCCAGCGCTCAGGCAATCGCAGAACCACGGGATGGTTGGACAGGGTCCCGTGGAGGTCGCCTGGTCCAGTCTCATAGAATCATAGAATCACAGAATGCTCAGGGTTGGAAGGGACCTCTAGAGATCATCTAGTCCAACCCCCTGCATACGCAGGGTCACCTAGAGCACGTGGCACAGGACTGCGTCCAAGCGGGTTTGAAGATCTCCAGAGAAGGAGACTCCACAACCTCTCTGGGCAGCCTGTTCCAGGGCTCTGGCACCCTCACTGGGAAGGAATTTTTCCTTAAGTTCCTGTAGAACTTCTGGTGTTTCAGTTTGCGGCCATTTCCTCTAGTCCTATCAGTGGCCACCAGTGCAAAGAGACCAGCACTCCCACTCTTTTCTCCCACTCGAGACAAGACCAGCACTACCATGAGACCACAGCAGCCAGAGATTTGCCTAACAAAGCCTTGAGAACCTCCACAGATGGTAATTTCACCACCTCTCTGAGCCACCTGCCCTAGTGCATGCCACTGTCTTCATGATTTTTTTTCTGATGCCCAACATGAACCACCCAAAATGCAATTTGTGTTATTTGTCCTTCTTACATCCTTCTTATATCTTATATAGGTTTCATACAGCTTTTTGACCTCCTCTTCACAAAAGGCACTGATGCTGTGGTAAAGAATTAGGATACAGGCACTAGACAGAATCATGTATATAAGGCATTCCCCACTGGCAAAACCCAATTATTCAGTGTCTTTTTGTCCTTTTTTTTGGAGGGAAGCGAGGGGGAGCTCTTTTTATTAAAGAATACATAAGAAAACAGCATCACATGGACCATTCTGTTTGAAAATGAGAGCTGACACACAGCAATTTCCAAAAATTTCTGCTATAGAATTGTCAGCTGTATTTTTTCTTCTCTTTTTACTTTTATTTAAGTCCTCCTCTTCTTAGTATGCAGTACAAAAGGTGCAAATGACTGTGACCAAGTTAACTAGGATGAAGAAGCTTTCATTTTGTGAAATTAATTTTTAAATTATACAAACAGGGATTATTTTGGAAATGACTGAATGATGAATATGAAGGAAAAACAATTGGATTAAGCTGTAAACACCAAAGAGCCAAGAAACAGTCTCAGGACATGACAAATCACTTGAGTCTTGGAATTAATTCTGGCATTTCCAAACCACTGCAGTGAATCTAGAGTTCTGAAGTTGATTAGCACTCATCATTTCCCATAAGAAAATCTCCTTCCCATCCCAATGCTGGGTCTAGAAGAGAAGGAATCCTTGAGAGAATAGAATAGCCCTCTCCATACTCAGCAAAGATAAGTGATTTATCCAGAAAATTAGCAAAAGAGCAGGTACTTAGCAGTACTATCCATGCACCTGAATGCATCCAGCTTTTCAAAGGACCCTTACTTTGCTTTTGTGGTTTATACATCAAAGATACGTCAAGAAGTATGAGATGTACCTATATTTACCTATTCTGATTAAATAAGAATCAGTGTCATGCAGCTTAGAAATGACCTTTTCCATGCCTTTCATTTCAATTTTTGGCTGAATTGTGAAGAGGAAAATATGACTTTGCTAAGATTTCCAGATTAGTTTGCAGACTTAATTGATGCAGATACACGTCAGATTTTTAAAAAATACTCACTCAAAATGTGACTCTGATTTTTTGTTAACCTCACGTACTTCCACTGAATGTTTCCTTTTCATTTATCAACAAAATATTGACACTAGGTCTTTTTTAACTTCCTGACAAAAGATGATACTAAATTAAGATCATCATACCATACGTATTGAAGGAATTTGATGGAAGCATCTCTGCTTGAATAATTAATACAATCAAATGAAGAAAGGAGAAGCAAGCTAAACTACCTGACCTTTCTTGATTCTTCATTTTAGTGTCTTTTTTTTTGCTAAAGCTACTTGCATTTCATCTCTCATCTTGTAGACCACGTTTACAGCAGAAATCAGTAGAAGAGAATCCGTGTCAGTAGAGTTTGGTCTTTTCTGTTGTTATCAGATCTCATGCAAGGCAAATTGCTTCTCTGTCTGAGATGGTTCAAGAGCAAAAGGATGAGATCAGGTTTGAAAGGGTCAGATGTACAAACAGCATGAGAAAACAGTCATCTCCTGGGATGAATATTCAGAAAGAAAAGGTTTGCAATATTACCTGAATGTAGACCCTCACATAATTCTGAGATAGAGCAGCAGTTGTTTATCAAACATTTTCCATTACAAAATACAATTTTGATGCCTTCAGTTCTAGAAATTAAGAAATTTATGGATTCTTCGGGATATGGAAAAGTACCAAAGAGAAACCAGTGCACCAGAATATTTACGAGCTGTAGCACCCAGAGTTATTGTTTTAAGAGACTAAATTTCTTTTTAGACATACGAAGTGAAAGGACCCAAGCATGAAAGTTACAGGGAGACATTTACAGCCTTACACCATGGTGGAAGGCTCAGAGGGCAGGACAGTGAGTGGCTGTTGAGTGCTTGAACTTTCTGCATCTATTTACAGACCAACCTGGAAGGCTGAAATAGAAGGGAAGGCAGGAATATCCTCAAGTCTGTGTTATTCCAAATCTAATTTCCCCAGTAACCTACTTGCAGAGCACTGAACCGCCCATGCTAAGAGGATTCCAGCTTCCCAAGCACCCCATAAGTTTTGATTTACAGATTAAGGCAAACCTCATCTAGGCTTATCTAGGTAGAAAGGCTTTTCTACTATTTTTTTTCAGGTGATAGCTGAAAGAATTGTCCATCTATGCTTTGTCTGTTTGTTTCAATCGAGTACCACGCAGAGGCTTTACGTGCTCAGCTAGCGTGTGTGCCTGCACGCAGTTGCAGCATCTTAAAGCATCCCTCTTTGCACAAAGTTTCCCTAAACGTTTCTCAACAGGCAAGCTGCAGCCAGACAGACAACGAGAGCTACGTGAGAACCGATGATGAGGAGAGCTGCTTTCGGACAGACGACGAAGAAAACTTAGCTGCAAACCTCACAGACGAATGGAACCAACAGGTGCAGCGGCTCTTGACGAAAAAATCAAATAACTAAGTTCTGAGGACTGTAGCACAGTACTTTTGTTCTAAGAGTTGTAGTTTGTAGATGTGTGTTTTGACAAAAAGACTTTTGTTTAAAGCTAACTTATATTAGCTACATCTGCTGTAACATGGCTCATTACCGGTGAAGAACACAGACTGAAGTATGTACTGCTGGTACAAAAAAGAGCAGTATTGATAACTCACATAAACCCTTTGCACATGATATTGAACCTGTTCAGTTTACAATGACAATACTGTTTATAGATAGAAAATTGATTTCTGAATACTTTGAGATTTTAGTAGACCAGTTTACTATACACTGTACATTTTTTTCCACAGGAAAGATAAAAAGCTACAATTATGCATTTAACACTGAATGATTATACTCCTGAGTGTATATATCTAGTAGCCCAAAAATAAAGTTCCAGACTATATTTGCAATTTGTTTGCAAGTCTTTTAACAGACTTATACAAAATGTACTAAAATGATAATAATATAATTAATGATAGTAATAAAAAGCCTCTCTAATTTAGGGCTAATGTGTAACTTAGGAATGTTTTCTTTCAAAATAATCTAACAAATCAGCCATAGAAGTTAGTGTAAATATTTTTTTTTCCAAATAGATATCATATACAAAAGGTGACATTCAAATGATATAGAATCTAGTTTTTAAATCAGCACAGATCTTCTTAAAACTGTGAACTATGTTTTGAAATACTCGTTGCTAAAGCTGTTTATAAACCACAGGTGCCATAAGATCCCTGAACTGACTGATGTTATGTATACTCTTCCATGGTATTGTTTCATTGATGTTTTAGCTTTAGTAGGCATGTGTTCAACAAATCGGCTCTTTCCATTCCCCTGCCCCTCCGACTCCCCACTTCATCATATTATTTTTGAGGCCTTCAGCTTTAAATGTACAGGCTTAAAGTGCGCTTGCGACTCTTTTCTTTCTTATTTCCGAATGTGTATTGCCTTAGCCAGCCACCAGATGTTCTGCATGCACTCTTGGAAATGTGTAGTGAGACTCTTTCAGAGCTGGATGGAGAATTAGCTATCAGTGAAAAGCACAGGAAGAGCGGTGGAGTTTTTTGAAAGAACAGGCATACAGTTACAGAATTGGAGTTTCGTCCATTTTAGTAACTTTTGAGCATAACGGAATTTCTGGAGAAAGGGGACTAATCTGACCATTTTGGATTATGAAGTGAGCCTGCTAGCTAAAAGTTGTTTGCTCTGCTGTTATTACAGATCTGCGGGTAGTTCTGAGCAGGAGCTGACACAAAATACCTGGAATATCCTCCACACAGGTTATTGCTTGGAAATTAGGATTCTGCCTGCACTGGCATGCGGTGAAATTCAAGCTGGTCCAGGTACATTAGAGCTAGAATTAGAGCTAGTCCAGAAGCAGGACAGCAACGTCAGTGCCATGTTCTGTGCTGGCTGCACAGCCCTACTGAGAAGCAGTGTGTTACCTTGGGACCACCTCTGTGCTAAGGTAATATTACTACAGTAACGTGATGTTACGGCTTCCAGTAGCGGGGTGACCTGAAGTGACACTGTCTGGCAGCCCTGCAAACACGAGCGTTTCATACAGATATCCCACCAGCACAGGGTGCCTGCAGCAGGGCATGAGCTGCTCATCCGAAGCAGGTTCCAATGTGTTGGCCTGTCCTCTGTGTCTTGGTCCCTTACATCTTGGGATGTATGTTGCCATATTTACATTGCTATGTGGCTCAACCCGGTAATTTCACTTACTGCTTGCATGTATTCTCTATGCTCTTGACTGTTTCCCTGGCCACGATGTGTTAGGGAATGAATATCTGTATGAAAGAGCTAATATTTTTCACTTTCATATTGTATTATTACTTATGCAGGTCTGTTGTCCACATTTCCATGCATATCTAAGCACAGTCTCGGGCATCCAAACTGATGCTAAAACATCCAGATATCTTCACAGAAGCTTTTCGTTCTTGCAGTCACTGGTCTTTGCTCGTGGGGTAGGTGCCATCCTGGCAAGGCCGGCACCGTATCCTCCGCTGCCCTCTCCTACAACCTCCTCTCAGGAATGAGTGAGCCTCCACTAGTGCCTAGCACTCCGCTTAAACCCCTGCAGTGAAGCCGAAGATGTTGCTGTCAGCTCAGGATTCCTGTCAAGCATTTCCTGAAAAAACAACAACAACAAAAAAACCCCCTAGAACACAGCTACATGCAACGGTTGACTAGTTCAACCTGTGCCATGTCTAACTGTACCCAAAGTAATAACTCCCTTCCATCATCCTAATGTCTGTGTGCGCATTATCGCTCTGCTTAAAATAGGTGCAATAGAAATAAAATCCATTGCAAGGGCTTCTGGACTAGAAGTAATGGAAAGAGCTGATAGATCAAGTGCTTTCCTCCCACACTGGTGTCAGCAGGTACTTCGCAGCAAAGACCTAGGTCCCTAATGCCCTGGAGCTCTGAGAAGCACCACCTCTTACTGGGCTCTCCAAATATCTATTTTAAGCATTTCCCAACTGTTTAGCTGGCTACGTTTTAGGCCAGCTGGTCTTTGTCTGCTTGTTGCATATTATTTTGGTTGTGGTTTGTGGCCATTGAAACAGTTGTGGAAGAGGTCCCTGGCACGGGCCTTTTCTTAGCTACAAATGGCTCCCCATGGCAGTCAAAACTGCGGGTGGTTTACTGTCCCTGGAGGGAAGTGAGTGGTTTGGAATCAGGAGACAGGGATGTGAGGATGGATAGGGTTCTTGAATGTCCAAAGCAAAGGTGGAGAATGGGTTGTCTGTAAGTAGTAATGTTAACTAAACTGCATTAAAAGGTGTGTGGCCTTTGTTGTGATATAATACGTATTTTCTTATATGCATGAGCCAAATCGTTGCATCATAATTTATCATAAATGTGTCTGCCTTTACTTTTGGTCATCTTCTCCCATCCTTATTGGTTCTTGGCAATTACTGTAGATAGACCTTGTAAATATTGCAACCTCAGGTTGCTGTAATCACGTTGGTTCAATTCAGCAGACGGAGCTGTGAACAACAAGCACTCCACTGTGTCCTGACGACAAAGGGCATTTTTACCTTTGAACCAAAAAAGAAAATGTATGAAGAGTTACATCTTGAGGCTACTAACTGTAAGACGTTTTTAAAACTACTGTACTTGATGCCACTTGAGACAGCTACAGAGACACAAAAGATGTCACAATATTCATTGGTATTGTAACAGAACTGCTATTGTATGGGTTTTTTGTATTGCTGTTAAGTATTGTTTTGTGTGTGTGTTGGAACCTACTGGGGACATGTTATATTTTGAAGTGATTAAACTATTTAATTGTGTGTCTATATTTTGGAATGGAATTATTTCTTCATTAAAAAGATTTTTAAAAGTACCTTATGGAGTGTGTTGTCTGTGGCTCGTCTTGGTTACAGTATCCCGTTCTGCACGTTTCCCTGTGCTATAGCAAGCAGCCTTTGCTTTGCCCCCGTTTTTGCTCCTTCATCTCCACAGAACTCCTTCCACCGCCTTCCCCAGCACCTCAAGCGTGGCAGGGAGCAGTGCCTGCTTTCAAATGGCCCCAGCAGTTTTATTCTTTCTTCCTATCTTAATTCTCTGTAGCTTCACACCCTGCAATGAAGTGACACTTCCACCCACTTAAAAGCAGTAAAAATTCCCATAAGCAGAGGGGTCAGGGCACTTGTCCCCAGGAAGCCAGCTCAAAGCCTCACCAGCAATACCAGTGTTTTCCTTACCTGCTGTTTCTCTCTGTCCCTGTAAGGCACAACAGGTTGGGACACGAGCATTTTAGTGACTTCGCTGCTCATGCACACGTTATCTTTTATTGCAAGCAGCCTTAGAGGCTGCATTTTCCCAGTTGCACTTTGTAGGCGATGTCTTTCCTTGTCGCATGCTGATGTTTGCCCCTGATTGCTCAGCTGGAGGAGCAGAGAGCGGAAAAGGGAGGCAAAGATCTGCCCAAGGCAGCAAGTTCCACTGCGGCAGCAGGGCTGAGCTGGGAGCCCTCAGGGGATGCCTCAGTCCTTGCCCTCCAGCCCCAGGGCAAATGCATATTTGGCTGAACAGTCTTGGGAATCCACCCATCAAAAATACTCTCTAATTTTCATCGCGTAGTTTAATAACCCAGTGTCCAGGAAGCAGATAAAACCCAGCCTACCGCCTCCTCACACTAAGCTGACTGCTGTGGTCACATATAAATCACCAGGGTTTATTCGTCCTAATTCTCCTGTCTAGATGGAGATTTTCTTCAATAAAGACAATCATTTTACATTATAAATTGTTTGCCAGAGATGCTGAACCTTGCATCCACAATCCCAGGCCAAATCCATATCCACAAATTGTAATACGTGATGACATATCACCAGCTCAGGAGGATAACTCTGATTTATCCAAATATAATCCCAAATTGCTGTATTTCCTCCTGACCCACAGTCAGCCTGTGGCCATTTGGGAACAGAGGAGCCAGTGGTAACTAATTTATAGGCGAAGGCTGTTTTCCTATTTGCTTCACAGTTACTCTAGCTGCCTTCTGTTCCTCACAGGAAAAACAGACTCATGAGGGAAGGAATAAATTAATTTTATTTGGAAAAAAATGTATCTGGGAAGCTGGCACATTGGCTGCATCAGTGCTGAATTATGTGACTGAAATAGCTTTCAAATATAGCTACATAAATATAATTTTTTTTTTAAGAAAAGACCTTTTAAGAACTGGGTATAAGCTATTTTTTTTCAGCAGTACACGCATCTCTGGCCACTCCTCTATGGTTTGTTGCAGAGGGCTCTTCCCATGTATTTCCTTCCAAGCAGCCCTTCCTCCTGGGCAGAACATTTGGAGGCTGTAAGAGGATACAGCAGGGGCATGAAGCAGAGCCCATCAGCTCAGAAATAAGTTAAACGGGTGGGAAAGGAAACCTGATCTGCCGTTCCAGATGAGGAAACGCACTGAAGAATTTCATGGGCTTCAAGATCCTCTTATTGGAAACCCCAGATAATCCACACTTGAAAGATTCTCCCTTGTTTCCTCGTGAATAGCTGCCGCGCGCGCCTCGGCTGTGGATTAGCACGGACATCCTACCCGACAAGGAGCGCTCCAGCACACGCCTGGCTCCAAAGGGAAAAGCCCCGGGATTAGGCTGTGGCTTTCCCGGCTTCCCACTTCCCCATCAGAGTCACCGACCATCCATTCCCTGTGACAAATGGGTGTCCAGGCTGCAACGAGCCTGTGTTTAATGGCCCACAAGTCTGTGATTCTCTAGAAAAAGCTGGTTTGGTGACATGTCCCCCCTCCCAGGACGAGATAAGGATCCTGGAAATGTGCTCAGCTGTTGACTGGACAAAGAACTGGAGGAAGTTGATCTGTTCCGGATTTGTGAAGGATGTGTTTTCCAATTGATCTGGTGAAATGAAGCTAAGTATTGAAGGGGTTTTCATTAAGAAAGCAGCAGTAGGCTATGGGCAACCTGCTTATGGAATGAGAGGGAGACAGGAATAGCAGTAACTGCTGATATACTGATTTATCCGAGGGAGGAAAGCGGAAAGAAGATGGAGCGTGCAGGTGAATCAGAAGGTTGATATATGGTGAGCAGAATACGTTCAGGAGAAGTAACAGGGGACTTGTGCCATCACACCAGGCCAATGTGGAAACAGGATGACTAATACAGCTTGAAGATAATAAAGACCAGAAAATAGCGAGAAAGAGCAGGTGCTTTTACATGTCTTAGCAGCAAAGGCAGGCGCTCTTGCAAGGTGGCGTGCGGCGTTATGAAATGCGGTTTGCTAATTCAACACGGCACCAGCGGCTCCCCGTGCCGGCATTGCCGCAGTGCTGCCCAATCCAGCACCCGACCTTTGCTCTTTGCTTTTAGTATTGCCTCTTACAGTAGCCGTAAGTCCTCCCTTATATCGCACACATAACGCTGCTGATACCAATAGAAATTATATACTTAGGAAGCGCTGGAGCTCCAGGGTTTTCTCTCTGCGCTTCTTTGGGGTCTTCCTGCAGGTGAACACATAAGAGCTTGCAGACTCTCTAAAATGAATTTTTCATCACCGCCTCTGCTATGGAGCTGCAACCACGGTCAGAAACCTTCCAGATCCCCCTCAGCTCTGCCTGGATCAGAAAAAAAAAACCTAATACACTCTCTATAAAGACAGCAGAGTGATGTTTTTAAATGGCACTTCGTGCTCTCTGCATTGGTTTTACTTCCTAGAAAAGCGCGCTCGCTCTCAGCTCATTTGCCTCAAAAGCCGCACGCTCCCTCGGTGTGAC